GTGCATTTCTTCATGCCTCGTTTCCACATCATCTGTTGACCTCTATGCGGTCGCTTCCAACCTGGATCCACAACTGCGAATCGGGCGCGGTGCGGTAGACGACAGCTGTGCACGCGCAATAGGTGACCTAAACAGCGCAGTCGACTACACTGAATTCAAAGGAATAACAAATTCTCCATCGAATTATTACCAAATACACGACGCCTCACCTCAGAGCTGCTAACACGATGGCTTCATTTAACTCGTGCCAAAACTACGCTAGCATCGGCACTCGCAGACATATAGACAATGGATGAATGGTAGTGATTAGGCCATTCACAGATGAAGAGCACGTTGCGGTGGGAGGTAATCTACAGGCACAGTTAGGTGAACTGTAAACCTAACCATTACCCAGGCACTTTTATGGGGTGATTTTGGTTGCCATCTTCCGGCTACTCATTTCGACGAATAATAGGAGACAGGAAAGTTGAAGGCAGAGTCGAACAGAAAATGGATAAGTTCAACGATCTAAGTTTACAAAGAAACTGAGAAGATGCAAGAATGCCACGGTTTACGACAACCACCCAAATCATTCAGCTTCTCTAACCATCGGTTACGATCATTCCGAGATCCCCAAAGGAGCCTTCTGCTTGCGAGTTGACAATTCATCCGTGATGCGTCCACCGGGTGAGATGTAGCTGTCCAGATGACAAAACTTGCACTATTACTCCTCCAATTAGAGCGAGGCTGGGTGCTGGACCAACCCAGTCTTGTGGTAACATTTTACACTTTGAAGGTGCAAAACGCATATCGAATTTGGCTACGCTGGCATTCAACTTATCCAGAAATGCTTGCAAAAAACCTGGATCTTTACTTAGTAGCACACTGTCGTCCGTGTACTCTAGATCAGACAGTTTGCCTCCTGGGAGTAAATCGATATCGATATCCTCGTACGAGGATAGGGCTGTTTCCATAATCAGATCTATAACAAAGTTAAACAGAAAAGGAGAGAGAGGGCAACCCTGACGAACACCA